TTTTCTGACTTTTCATTGACAATTCCAGATTTATAAAATTCCCAGACAATGCCCGATTTTTCAGATTTCCCTGACCGCTATAGACACTCTGTGTTTAGCTTGAAATCTAGTCTCAATTAAAATGTCAATAGTTTCTTCTACAAATAATTTTAAAAAATATTAAAAATAAAGTTAGGATCTTATAATAAAAACAATATAATTCTTTAATACGATAAAAATATAACAGATTTATGAAAAGTTAACCCAAAAGTAAAAAAAAAAATTCATAAAACAATAATTTTTCATATTTATATAATATATGAAAGTAATAACAATGCACAGAAAATATTTACTATTTTTTCTCAAAAATTAATCATTATTATAATATAAATAAAAAAATCACGCCAATCATCATCACGATAGTAAGAAGCGTTTAATGAAATAAATTTCTGTTTGGAAAATTTATCGGAGAGCATTTTAAAAAATCGACATCGCGATCTGGCGGCGCCAGGTAATAATAAACGTTCACGGGGGGTTTTACGCCACTGTTTGCAGAAAACCTTGTACAAGGGAACTATGGAAGCATAAAGGGAGAACCACACAGAGGCGTCGAGCTGACTGATACAAAAGTGAAACCTACGAGAGGACCCGGGAGAGAGATAAAGGTAATTTAGATGCGTCGTCGGGTCACGACTGCCGACTATTACCGCTATTACCGGGATCCCGGACCATTTCGTTCCATCCCATTCCGTACCATCCCACGCCATTCTGTCTGGTATTACGTTCCGTCGATGCGAGCCTAATGTAAGCGTCATTTCGCGCGCGATCGTGGCAGCGGATGCAATTGGAGACACATCGATTTGCATCCGAAAAGGAAAAAAATATGCTTGAGCGAGAGTTGCCCCAACTTTGACTACGTTTTTTATTTTAAGAGACATCCTTTAGATGTATTCATTTTTTTCAAAACTAAATGTTGTTTTTATTTTTACCTTTTTGCCTTTTATATTACAATTTTGTCACTCATTTTTTACTTGGTAGTTCAATATATCTAATGTCACACAGTAAAAAATTATTAACTTGACTAAATTTTTCAATTAAATTACTATTTTAGTTATTAAACATATATTGATATTTAAATGAAATACATGTTTTGTTACACGGAAAGAATTTTTTCTTAGAATTTACCCTGAAAATCATGGTAATCATGGAACAATAAAAGAATTTTATAAGAGTTTCTTTAATTAATATTTACCATACTGAAAAATATTAATACATATGTACATGGTAAATTTTATCATGTAATGAAAAGTAAAATTAATGAAACATAGTTTATATCTCATTGTACTAGATTAATATTTTTTAATGTGGTAGATATTAATCAGAAAAATTCTTCCAATATCAATATTATCTCACAATTACTATGATTTTCAGAGTAAACTCTAAGAAAAAATTCACATATTTAATTTAAATTATTTTTATACATATATTCAATTAACAAAATGAAAGGTTTAGTCAAGTTAACAATTTTTTTCAGTGTACAAACGCAAGAATTTTTACAAAAACATTTTTCTAAAACTTTTACATTTGTCCTTTAAGGAGATGCTGCCGTAGTTCTGTTTTACCGACTTTAAGTTAGGTTAGGTTTACTTTTTATTTTAATCCAAGTACGAATCTTTTGATACTTTTAATCTCATTTTTATTACTTCTATATTATTCTTTCATGTCATCTCTATTGGGAACGCAATATTTTATGCACAAATAAACTGCAGAACTTTTGTATTCAATAACTATTGTTATGAGCTGATGCAACAGGCCGATAAAAAACTGTAATTTTTTAACTTTTATTGTTTTTTATACGAAATTACAGCGCTCCCGTTCATTATTATCAGTACTTTAATTGTGGAGGATTTTTCAATCTATATAGCCAATAAAAAAAAAAGCCCTTAAACTCAAGGTCGGTAAAACAGACATGGTCAGCATCCCCTTAACTTCTTTCAAAAAATATGGTCAGTTATGATAATTCGACGTCCCGATGTTGTGACCGTAGACGAAATCCTTCTCTTCATCTTGACGATAGGAAGATTTGCAGAAACGCACGGATTCCTTCCCGCGGAACCGAAGACGTCATTATCGCAAACTTGCGCGCGTTTTCTGTCCAAGCGTGCAAAACTCGATTCGCCAAGCCGACCGCTCCGGTAATGTCTTGCGCGACGTGACGACGTCACGCTCGTCACGAGTTAAACATAGTATACTATATAGGAACGGGATATCCGACTGCTAAATCATAGCGACACACACATCTATGCAATATGTTAAGATTGCAGTTAAGATGTCACCCGCGAATTCCTCAAGTGAATTTCAGGAGAAAGCTATAATCGTAACTTTCCAAGTTATTCAGGTGGAAAAAAAAAGAATATGTTGTTGACATTATACCGATTTTTTCGCCCTCGACGGTTTTCACGTATATCGCCCGTAGGAATGGTTTCGTGTTACGTTAAAGTAATGTTAGCCGTTAGGAAATCATGCCCTCGTCGCGTTCATTACCCCGTATTTCGAGCGGACAATCGACGGAGGAAAGCAGTACGATAATTTTCCAATTACCCATGACGATCGCGAGCCCTTCGGCGCTCACGTAGTATCGACATCGATCGGCTTCGATCCGGCGTGAGAGTGCAACGGTGAAGAGCAATGAGCCGGAATGTCGCGAGGAGACGAAATGTGAACGCCAGTAACAAAAGCAGTATTGATCATCTGTATGATAAATTGGTGCAGCAATAAAGAGAAAATTTTTTTGTGTTTAAAATTCAAATAAAATTGTCTATATAATTAAAATTTTAGATAATAAATGATCATAAATGCGTAATGCACTTTTATATGTTGAAAATAAAGATAATATATTTAACTGTAATATTTATTTACCCTGAAAATTATGGTAGAGAAAAATTTTATAAGAATTTCACTGATTGATATTTAATTTTTAACAAAAAATATTGATCGTGTACAAAGTAAAATTTACTATGTACATATTAATATTTTTTGTTGTACTAAAAATTAAATATTAATCAATATGGTATTGGAAAAATTTTATTAAAGTTCCTCTGATTAATATTTACCGCAATAAAAATATTAATATGTACATAGTAAATTTTACTATATGTATATACATATTAAAATTTTTTGTTGTGCAAAAAATTAAATATTAATCAGAGAAATTCTTAAAAAATTTTTCCACTACCATATTGTACCACGATTACCATGATTTTCATATATTTTAAGTTAAAATATAAATTTTTTTCAAGCTAAAAAGTTACGCGTGTAAAATATTTAAGTCATTATTTTTATCCTCGTAAATAAAATTTAAAAAAATTAATAAAAAAATAAAAAAGATAAAAATAGATAAATTGTTCAGATAATATTTAGAAAACTGACAATTTAAATATCTTATCAAAACTTAATTTAGAAGTGATGACAAATACTGATCAAGGAACAATGAAGAGCAACTTCTATCGAAATTCTCGACAACATAATGCACCTGCGCGTGCGAATGAATAGTTTTATACCTGCATAAGTGCTACAATGTCGAAAAAGTCTAGCGACGAGTGGGTTCCGTGATTTACTCGCGCATTAAGAATTTTTATTATACCGGTAAATGTTTTATGATTGTCCCTAACGCGCTTTAAAGCTAGACTGTATCAACGTTCTGAGAACTGCGAAACAGTATTATCCCAAGCAGAAGTTGTCGGCCGACAATTACGATCGAGATGCTGTTAAACAACGAACGACTTTATTTGCAACATTCATCGATAGATTACTCTGCGTAATCGTATAGAAAAAAAAATATAATTTTAAAAAAATTCTTTAATTAATTCTTGAAAATAAAACTAATATGCTTTCGAAGCATAGCGTTACAAAAAAAAATATGTACTTAAAAGAACTTTAATTTTATAATTTCCTAAGATTCAATTTAATATTCTTTTTATTATGGCAAAAGTTAATGATCTCCCATGCGCCAAAATATTTAATAAAAAAAATATTCTAGGTCTGAAAAAATTATTTTTCAAAGACATCACGATTTTCTTAAGCGACGCGAATTTTTTTCGGACTTGCATGATTTTGCAACGTGGAAGATGAGGCTCTTTCAGACCTCCGCGTCCTTCTTCCCTTCGTTCTTCTTTGTCTTTTCCACAGTTTCTTATCCTTTTCGCGTGGGAGGCGGCAAAACGTCCGGTTCTCTCGCCTCCTCTTTGTCTCTCCCACTTACCTTTTCTGTTCGCTTCAATATCTCTTTTTATCCCCTTCCACTGGACCCAGTCGTGGATCGCCAACTCGGTGTGTAAAGGTGCGTACTATACCTATAATGCTATGTAATGCTATGCGAGCATTAGCGAACGAATCGGTTCGTAGTAATCCAAATAATGATAGTGAAAGAGATTGTAAATCTCATCTACTATACGAATAAAATCATATATGCATGATTTTTCTTTAATACACATACATAAAAGCGTGCATTCGCATCGATAAATCCAATATAAATCGAATGTTTTTTATTTATAAAAAATATTTTATATTATATATTTAATTGTCTTTTAATATTTCTCCAATATTATGAAATGATAAATTAATTCAAAGCTAAGAAGTCACGTGTACAAAACATTGAAAACATTATCTTTATATGCAGGTGAACAATCGAATAAATAAATACACAAATAAATTTTAGTAGAACCAGCGTGAATTACCAAGGCGACGGACTCTTTGTTTATAATAATATTATATATTATTATATATTATGTGCAGGTGCTCGCATAGGATATAAAACGCGCCTTGAAGAACCCGACCGCCTGCTGGCGAGCTGGTTGTTTCGCGCGCAATCGCACGACACGCATGCCGATATGTATATATCTATATATATATATATATATATATATGTACAAGCCGGCAACGGGGGCAGCAGAAATGCCGATTCGTAATTGCAATAATGGGAGTGATGGGATATATGGTTATAGTGCTGTGTTGCTACTCACTTGCAGTGCGACTCGCCGCGCGGCGACGACACGCAGAGTCCTCCGTGCTTGCATGGGCTCGGCGAACACGACACGAAACCTGTAACAGTGACGAAACAAAATCTCGGTTATTTTATTTTCTATCGCACTTAATATTATAATGTATATTAATACATATTACGCGTGCTAAAATATCATAGAACGCAATAGAAACGTCATTAAACGTCAAAATGACGTCATTAGATGTCAAAATGACGTCAGTTTGACGTTCAATGATGTTTTACTATAGAAATGTGCAAAGTAGCAAACTGACGTCAGTTTGACGTTCATTAATACGTATATTAATACATATTACGCGTGCTAAAATATCATAGAACGCAATAGAAACGTCATTAAACGTCAAAATGACGTCATTAGATGTCAAAATGACGTCAGTTTGACGTTCAATGACGTTTTACTATAGAGATGTGCAAAGTAGCAAACTGACGTCAGTTTGACGTTCAATGACGTTTTACTATAGAGATGTGCAAAGTAGCAAACTGATGTCATTAAACATGACGTCATTAGATGTCAAAATGACGTCAGTTTGACGTTCAATGACGTCGCAGTTTGCTACTTTGCACATCTCTACAGTGAAAAAGTTATTTAAAAAATATTTCTGGAGTAGCTAATTTCACATTAACCTTTACCCCCAAATTTTTACAAAAATAATTTTTAATTAACCTAATTGATAAACATTTGCTTCTAGAAAAAAATTATTTAAAAAATTTAGAAGTTAACTTCGCATTTAAAAATATCATCTTATTAAGAATTTTTATCACGAATCATTATTTTGATCAATTTGCTCGTTTTGATCATTTTAATTTTTTTAATTTTTATCACTTTTATTGTTTTTGTTATTTTGATCGTTTCAGTCATTTTATTAAATGTAATTAAAATGATTAGAATAATTAAAACGATCAAATAATCAAAATAATGAAAAATATAAAACGATCTTTTGATTATAATTTTTGATATTAATGATGATCTTATTAAATCAGATATTTTTGTCGCAAATTGTATGCATTTATACAGATTTAATATTATATACAATATTATATTTATAATATATTTTAATCAAAATATAAACAAAATAATACACAGAGAGAATTTTCTCTTAAAATTCACTCTGAAAATCATATTAATAATATTAATCTACCACAATAAGATATAAAATATGTTCGCGACGAAAAAATATATCTGACTTTAATAAAATTTGGAATTTTGTGGTTTAATTCACTGTGCTTGATTGAAAATACGCCGACGAAAATTTTGTCATTTTTTATATATAATGGATTCGTAAACGTGAAATTTCGCTTATCGCAACCTCGTTGCAATTAAAGTGCATCTTTGGAGCCTCCGAGAAAGCGGTGAATTCGCAAGAGAATCTTTGACACGCCGTGCAAATTGAACTTTCGTGTAGGGCCCGGCAAAGATGGAGATAAAGGGACGAGAAGAGATGAGAAAGGAAGAAGGATGGAAAGGCGAAGCGCGTCTCGTATTACGGGAGAACCCTTAAAGGAAGAACGAAAATATCGTTGCATCTCTTGGCGTTAGACGCTACCGACGCAGAAAAGAGGTCGACGAAAGCCTTCGACGCCTTGAAAGCGGCGCTATTAAATTTCACGAAATTCCATCCGAAAATCCAAAGTTCAAGAAAGAGGGAATCTGTGATTGAATTTTATTGAAATTTATTCGCGCGCGACGCGCTTTCGTCGATATTTTGCGCGTAAATCTGTCATCCTTATTGCGCCAAAAATCGGCGACGCCCAGTAAAAAACATTTTACATGCATGGTGTATAAAAAAGAAGAAAGAGAGATCACAAACGTAAAATGTTTATCTTTTCTATAAAACTGGATATCGACGGACCTCGGACATTTTCGCACTTAAGGGAATGCTGACCATGTCTGTTTTACCGACTTTGAATTCCAGGGCTTTTCTTTTTATTGGCTATACAGATTGAAAAATCCTTCTCCACAATTAAAGTACTGATAATAATGAACGGGAGCGCTGTAATTTCGTATAAAAAACAATAAAAGTAAAAAATTACAGTTTTTATCGGCCTGTTGCATCAGCTCATAACAATAGTTATTTAATACAAAAGTTCTGCAGTTGATTTGTGCACAAAATATGGCGCTCCCAATAGAGATGATATGAAAGAATAATACAGAAATAATAAAAACAAGATTAAAAAGCTGTATCAAAAGATTCGTACTTGGATTAAAATAAAAAATGGACCTAACCTAACTTAAAGTCGGTAAAACAGAACTAGAACAGCATCCCCTTAAAAGAAGGGCTGAAGTATAAAAAGCGCGTTCAAGAGCTCGATTAATGTGTTCGATACGGCATATAATGCACTACGAACAGCTGATACAAGCATGCCAGCGTCTGCATAATAACAACGTAGCAAATAACCGCTTAACGTGAACATGGCTTAGAGTGGAAGCCTCGTCTACTTATATTTTATCAGGGTACACCGGAGGGCCACATCGTTTATACTCGACCTTTCATCATATGTACAAGAAACTCTTTCAACTTCCTACAAAATTTCCATTTCGTAATAAATTGGCAAATTTTCCAAGTCATATTCGACGACGCCTCTAGCTATAGATAAATTCATTCGTGCAATTATTTCGAAAACGAATTAAGCATTATCTCTCTGCTACATAAATATATCATTTTTCACTGTCGCAGATATTCACTTAACTTGAGAGCCCTGTCCACATCATTAATGTTAGACTTACGGAGAAGGATGATTATCAATAGAGTAAAGCGCATGATGTAATGAGCACGAGGCTTCATGAAGTTGCGTGGGACGCAGAAAAGCTGTCTTAACGTTTAAAAATGTCAGTAATCGCACACATTATTCGGTCGTCACCTCGCTCTCACACGCGACATTATTGCGAGCAGCTCCGTCACGAGCGACAAAAATTCATATAAGATTTGTCACGTGTAACAAAAGCATCTTTTATTACAATTTTCTACGTTAAATAATTTTATAGTAGTTTTGAAATTTCTATATATCTTCTCTTTCGTATATCTATAGAAATAATTTTAAATCTGACTGGCTCAGAACCAAATTAATTAAATAAATATCGATTATATAAAAAATAAGCACATTATAAGCAGATATATTTTTAAAATTATTTGTATGAGGAAGTGCCGAGAAAAGAGACTTGAAAAATGTAAGACAGATAATAATATATACTTGTCGGAATTACGAGTGATTATTGGCCCGTCAGGGTTAACGGGACGATTCAATCTATTCGGCAGGACACGGCTCGAATGAAGTGGACCAGCTGTCAACGTCGCGACGACAAACAAGAACGAAGACAATCGCAAGGCTCGCGAGCAAGACGGATGGGATCAGTTAAACCAAACTGTCTTCGTGACAAATCCTCCGTTTCCTCTGTCGCTTCGCGGCTCCGTTCTCTCTCTCTCTCTCTTTCGTCGTCGTCGACGCACTTGCGTGTACATACGCTCTCGTTCGCGATTACTCCGTAATTCCTTACGTGGGACGTACAAATCGTCTATCTCTCTCTCTTTCTCTCTCTGTTTCGGTGTGATTCGCCGGAACTTCCGGCCGTCGACACGCGCGATTAACCGTCGCGGCGATGTTAATTGAGAGAAGCCGAAGAAATTCAAGCCTGATTGATGTTACGTCATCTATTAGTGATCGTGAATAAATTCCTCGCGCTCGACTGGTCCTTAGCATTATATTGATCAAAATTAAAGATATATTAACGCTGAACATTTTTTTCATCGAATCAAGGTTGTAGGAAAAAAGCCGCTAAATAAAATGTGCTATATAAAAAATAGATATCCGTAGACTCTATCGTAATTTTCAATAAAACAATTTTAACATATACTTTTTTATTGAAAAAAAAATTCAGATTATTGGTCAGAAAATTTATTAATTTTTAACAGGGTTGAGTAACTAGTTAATTAGTTAAAAGTTTTAAAAAATTGAAAAATTAATAACTTAGCTTAGTTAAATTTAAAATGTATTAATTGTTAACTTCAACTAGTTATTTTTGACTTTAAACTTTTAACTTTTTCCCTAAGTTAAATTTTTTAAATCTCTGAATACCACTATTCTTTTTAAGTTATAAACGTATTATTTTTAAATTCAAGTATTATTAATTTTTATGTTCATTTGTCATCAATCGTATTATATAATTACCAAAAAATAGATTTCTATATAAAAATCAAAATTTCTTTGTTTTATTTGTTATTATATATTTTAAAAGAATTAACAAACAAAATTCTAATTTAATATAAATAATATTTTTAAAAATTAACTTTTGATTTAACTTCAGTCAATTTAATTTTAACTGACAAGGGACATGTCACAACTGTCCGGAACCGATTTGATTCTCCTTGAAATATGTTGTTAAATACACAAATCTAAAAGACACGTATTTTTTTATACGTGCGCAATTTGAGTTTTAAGGGGTGAAACACCCCTTTAAAGAATAACGGTATTTTTCTTTAGGATCAAATATCTGCTAAACTATAAGAGATATAAAGAAAAAACGTACAACAAATTTTAATGGCTTGAAGAGTACTTTAAAGTTATATGAACAAAAATTTTTTTTTTTTTTTTTTTTTTTAAAAACCCTCACCACCTAATTTTTTTTTTCAAAATTAAAAATTTTGTTTTACCTAATTTAAAGCTTATTTTTTTCCAAATTCAACCATGTGTAATAAAGTTATGTTACGAAATATCATTTTCGAAAATTAATTATAAACGCTCCCGTATATACGCTCATCCGTGCTATGTGCGTAAGTAATTACCGTCGAACAATAAAATATATAAAAAATGTTTTTGTATAATTCTTATTTATGTTTTCTATGTATTTATAACTGCGTATTGTGTATATTTAGATTTAAAAAAAAATTTTTAAATATAATTAATAAGAATTTTTTAAATATACCCCCTGCTTTCTTATTATTTCTTTAATATTTAATTTCTTCTATAAAAATTAAAAACAATTATATTTTATAATAAAATTATTTTTTAATTGAATCTTGCGAATACCAATGTCGCAATATTTGGCATAAACAAATTTTATATCTTACG